AAGGAGTTGGAACAACGACCGTTAGCGCCCACTTCTCTGGAGGAAAATCTCGTTTAGACGCTTTTAAAACACTCAAAGTCGGTGGTGTTGATCGGTAATTGTTGTTTTAGGGTTTAACGGGGGCCACTATGTGTGGTGGAGCTCCCCGGTGGACTGGTCAGACCCGTGTCAAAGGCTAAGCTAGGTCCTGATCCGAGTTATGAGAGCTGCCTCTGGACGGGTATTTATAACTATCTGTGCATGTGTCACCTCGTAACTTATGCGGATAAATAAGTAATTACCTCCAGGGGGATTTTGTGAAAGGATTTTCTAATTGAATGACCCAGAAGGCACGATGTCGTTTTTTAATTTCCGTAAAATATTCAAATTGGGAGTGGATAAGAAGAAGAAACAATACGAAAACGTCCGCAGGGATGAAAATCCAGAGGAAGTATGGGAAATAATCGGTGAACTGGGAGATGGAGCCTTTGGAAAAGTCTTTAAGGTATGTATTGAGCTTAATCCCATGTGTTTTTCTCTGTTTTCCAATGTGTCATAGTCGTTTTAGTTGAAAATTAGGCAACATTTAGCCCTGTCTTCATTATTAAAGGGGTCCCAGTTAGGCCCTTTCTGTCAATGCTGCCTAATAAACAAAAACATCAGGTGGAAGTACCTCTTCATTCAGTCCCTCAGTTTGAAAAAGTGTCATTTAAAGGTCTTGAAATGTAGTTGAACAATAACTGAATCAAAACGGAAAAGTTGGGTCTGATTTGAGGCTGTCAGAGCTCTGATTGTTGGTCCTCAGTGAGATTGAGACGTTAGCATCCAGCTGTATGCTAACGTCCAGGAGGAAAGACACCAGAACGACCTGAGAGAAGCAGCTGCTGCTGCCCGTCAGTCTGAGGGGTCAAAGGTCAAAGGTCAGGGCAGCAGGGTCAGAAACAGGCCGAACAGGAGTGCTGACTCCTGACAGCAGCTGTGGGCACGGCGGCGGAGGGATGGTGGTCTGGGCTGCCTGTGCAGCATCAGGACCAGCACGAACTCCTCTGGATCCCAGAGGGGGGCTGATGGAGCTCAGCTCAGTTTTGTTTGAATAAATAAACGTCTCCGTTTAAGAGGATTTACTAACTTAACAGACACTATGATTTTATTAAAAAACAATCAAATAAAATTCTGAATAATGGAGCCTTTCCTTTCTCTTCCTGACTGCTCTGCCTCTCCTTGTATTTGCATATTGATCACTAACTCTCAGTCCTTAACCCCAACTTTTCCCCACTGCCTCTTTATCCAAAGCTAAACGTCTAACAAACTGTTTCAGTGTTTAGAAAAATCTGTTTATTAAGCTTTGGGAGCTTTACTACTAACTAATTACACTTTTAGAAAAAAGCCCACATGTTTTAGTTCAGTCTCAGAAAGCCTGAATGTTCTGAAATGTTTCTAATAAATGTTTGTTATTGTTGCCATTTTTAATACTTGAACTTAACCTTTAGCTCAAACCCTTTCTTCTAAGTTTAGTCTTTTGGTGCCAAATGTGAACAGGCCAGTAGAAGAAGTATTTTTTGGGGGGTAAAACCCTAAAAACAAACATTTTGCAGCTCATTACTGATGAGGTATTATTAATAATAATGTCTTAATTTTGTAATCCACTTCGTATCCATTAGGGGAAAAACTCACATTTCTCTGGTTATAAGCTTTGTTTTGTTTCATGTACAAAACCAAAAAAGGATTTAGTCCAATATAGATATGAAAAATGAGTCAAATAAAGATTAGAGAGTTTAATATTTTAGCATTGATTAAAGATGTTTGTGGGCTAAAGTCCGATCCCACATTAGCATTAGCATTTGTAGCCCACAGGTCTGTGTCCTAACCATTAAGTTGTTATCAGAGTAAATCCCTGTTCAACATGAGTCTGACAGCTAAGTAAGTAGATAAATAACTTTAGACTTTAACACATGCTCTGATAGGCCGGGATCGGATCAAAAAGCTGGATGTGGATGTCCCTACTTCGTATCACCAGCAAGCCCACACAGTGAGGCTCTATCTGAACCAGATTTCGGGCCTATATGGGTCTGAACAGAGGGTGGAACGAGTAACCAGGAAGTGGCTGCATCCTAAATCTCTCCAGCACTTCCTGTCTGCAAAAAGCCAAACAACCAGTAGGAATTTCCACTTTAACGAGACCTGTCACACGTCCTGCTCACACAGAGGCTTTCATCTGTCCCAGCCCCATTAAAACGGCACCTTAATGACCCAGAATAAAGCAGGTCTGTGAGATTTAACGATGCCCTCCATGTGTCCACCTCCAGGCCCAAAACAAGCTGAGCGGCATCCTGGCGGCGGCCAAAGTCATCGACACGAAGACGGAGGAGGAGCTGGAGGACTACATGGTGGAGATCGACATCCTGGCCTCCTGCGACCACCCAAACATCGTCAAGCTGCTCGACGCCTTCTACTACGAGAGCAAGCTGTGGGTGAGTGTGGTCAGGGGGGTCAGAAGGATGCATACTCATCTTCAAAAGTATCGATACCCCCCCCTTCTCTCTGATTTA